GGGCGCTGTGGGTGCTACATTGGGGGGGCTGGGCACTATGCAGGGGGCAGGTGGTGTTTTGAAGGTGTTTATGGCTCTTGCATCTGGCAGAGGTTGAGAACATAAGAAGGGCCATATTGGGTCAGACCAAAGGTCCATCTAGCCCAGGATCCTGTCTTCTGACCGTGGCCAATGCCAGGTGCCTCAGAGGGCATGAAAACAGAACAGGTTATCCTCAAATGATCAATGCCCTTGCCCATTCCTAGCTTCTTACAAACAGAGGCTAGAAACGCCATCCTGGCTGATAGCCATTGATGGACCTATCCTCATCACCAGGCTAGTTTTCTGTAGCACTGTGCATGTTGTGGGGTGAGCTGTTTGCACTTCCCTTGAGGCCAGTAACTTAAACAGGAGTGAGGGGTTTACCCTGGGATGTGTTTTCCAAACCTTCCACCTATGCTTGGCTCCTCCCACTCACTGTAACAACAAAGGCCTCTCCAGGGGCCCCTCCCTTCTCCTGGGAGTGATTGTCCTTTAGCCCTTGGGAAAGAGGGGCCATTGGGTAGAGTCATCCCTCTGGTTGGGATGTGACCAGGCCCCAGGCTGTGGAAATCCCAGGCTTCCCTCAATGTTTATCACAAACTGCACCTGGCCAGGCAGGTCCCTTCCCCTTCTGTGTGTGAATTGATGCTGCCAGCTGTGCTCTTTGGGTGGTGTCCTTCCCAGTTGAGAGGGTGGGGAGTTATCGTTTCTGATGTTAGATGCCAGCAGGGTGAAGGCCCCCTCTGTATCAGAGGCAGCAGCACAGGGGGGAGTCAGGAGCCATGCTCAGGGAAAGCTGCCTCCCCATGAGCACCAGCTTCTCGTAGCCACCTCTTCCATCCCTTCCCTGTGCTGGGGGGAGGGGGGGGAGACAGGATGCCGGAGCAGCCTCTGTCCTCAGCAGGCCTGGGCTCACTGTGGAAAGATGTTGCAGCTGCCCTGTGCTACTGTCTCTGATACAAAGGCAGCAGCACAGGGTGGCAGGGGGCTCTCCAGGAGTGGGTCCAGGAGTGCACTGGCTGCTGGCTCTGCCCCCGGGACTATCGAATAATTGTGTAACCACTAAGATTTGGTGCAGTTACACAATTATTATACAATATCTGACATCCCTAGCATTGACTCAGGTTCACAACCATGAATTCTTGCTGCCCTTGGGTGGCTGGCATGGACTGCCTGGCTGGGGTAGATGGCAGCACTGTGCCCATCTGGCCTATCCCCTGTCATTCAGATAAGTTCCCCCCCTGCTGGCTGGGTTGGGCTGGGCTTGGCTTCAGTGTTTTTACATCCCTTTGTCTTGAATGATGTGGGTGCAAGAGACTGCTCTCTGTAGGACTCTGAATTTCCTTAATAGGCAACTTGATTGTCTTGAGAGGAAACTTTCCCCAGTGTGCCTCTGCCATTTGGGCTTTGCCATTCTGATTGCCCTAGGTAGAGCTGTAGACTCTAGGGATCCATCCTGCCCTGACTCCCTGAGTCCAATGCTCAAGACTGTCTGAATTCTCCTTTGTTAATTGTGTAGAGGCCTGTCATCCTTCCCGTTGGATCTCACAGCAGAATTTCCTTAAGATATTGGATATGGTCCCTGCCACAAACACTCCAGTCCTGTAACTACAAATATAGGGAGCTCATTTCTGAGGGCTCTTCTGCAACTTCAGGGGCTCACCCTATTTAAAAACTAGGGATGTTAAAATGCATTTAATTACGTAAATATATATCCACTGAAATTTTCAGCCAATACATATTTACACCTTGGGGGGTGGGTAGGTGGGAGCTGGCTCTCTGCAAGCACCAGTTCCCATTCTTTCCCCACACCTGCTGCCTCTATCAGTGTACTGACTTCCACCTGCCCTCCATCTCCTGTGCTACTGTGTAAAGCAGCTCTGTGGAAGCCTGCATGTGTGGGGAACTGGCTTAATTACCCATTCCCTGTGCATATCAGCTCCTACTTGCTCCCCTGCACTGCTGCCTCTCTGGCTACGTCTACACTACATGCTTCTTGCGCAAGAAGCCTTTTGCACAAGAGTTTTTGCACAAAAACTTCTTGCGCAGAGCACGTCCACACCTCAAAACACATCGCAAAGGTGATGTGCTTTTGTGCAATAGAGCATCCACACAAAGAAAGAGCACCTGTGCTTTTTCCCATAGGGGTTTCTTGTGCAGAAACCCCTCTGGAGCACCCACACTTGTGTTCTTGTGCCATAGCTGTAGTGCTAAAAGCAGTTATGCCTCAGAAAAGGAGGTTTACCTACAGTGGAAAAAGCTGTTCAACTGCCCATTTAATTGTGCAAGAGCTCATTTGAGGTGTGGACGCTCCGCAGGTTTTTGCGCAAAAACCTTGTAGTATAGACATAGCCTCTATTGTCTCTGATAAAGAGGTGGTGGTGGGGAGATGCACATGTATTTAAGCCTGGGCTTATCGGTTAATCATGTAAATGACTACATGCTAACATCCCTATTTAAAAACCTTTTAGAAGCTCAGTATTCAAATATTTTTGTGTTAGATTTCTTTTCCATACATTGTGTGCATGCAGATTTGATGTGGTGGGGTACCTGCCTGGGCTTTGGCTGCAGGTTCTGGGCATATCTTTGAAGGGGAACAGCTAGGCAGGTTGAATGTGTGGGTTGGTTTGGGGAAAAGAAAGGTCACCCAGGTGTGCTGAACACGGCAGCCTTCTGTGGTGGTATTCAGGCAGTCTGGGACTTTGTATGTGGGTTGGTTGTGGGGAATGTTGCTTAGGCATTCTAGGCCTGTATGTGGTGGACATGTAATGGAGTTACTTGGTGGCTAGTATAGCAAACACAGTCCTTTGACTGCCACAGTCTTATCTTGTAGTATAAGATTTGGTTCCTGGCAGCTTGGCCTTTAATTACAGTTTTTAGTCACAAGTTTTCTCCCAGACAAGAAGTCTGAGGCTGGAGACTCTAATCCAGTGGTTCTCAAACCACTAGTGGTCCGTGGCCACCTCCCAGGTGGTCCGCAGCTGAAGGTCAGCCCCTCCTTCCCCCTGCAGTAGCAAGTCCATGTTGGCTCTCCAGGCTCACTCACCCTCCCTCCCCTGCCGTTGGAACGCCAGTGTTAGCTTCCTGCTGTGGGGAAGAAGCGCTTCTTCCCCTCCTCCTCCCCCTTTTGGGGGAACAGCGGCACGCTGCTTGGAGGCTTTCCACTGCTTCTGTTGGCCAGAACCTGGCCAGTGGGAGCAGCAGAAGGCAGTGCCTGGGACTTGCACGGGGTGCAAAGGTTAGTAAGTGTTCCCCTCATGCTCAATATCCATGCACACACCGAAACCCCACACCCGCTGCCTGCTCCTGCACCCTCCTTCCTGGCTACACGTTGCACCTTTCCTTGTTCTTGTCCCCTCTCTTTTCCCCGGACACGCTACCTCCCATCCAGACCTTGCACCCTCACCCCCTCCTGCACCCTCATTCCTCTTGCTGGTAGTCCTTTCCTATACATTAAACCCCTCATTTTTTCCCAACCCCAGAGCTTAGTGGATTTTATGGACCTCCCTAACTCTGGAACCCCAGAAGAGTTAATCTGGCCTATAGGAAGCCCTGAACCTCAGTCCTCCCTCTCCCTTCCCCGGTGGTGGGGCTGGAGCGCTAGAGGAGTGAAGTGTTTCAGTTGGGGATTTTTGGAGGTTTGGGGGTGTGTTTTTTGGCTTACCACTTGTGTGGTGGTCCCCAACTGACTTTTCTGTGCATCAGTGACCCCGATCCAAAAGGTTCCCCACCCCTGCCATAAGTAAAGAAAATATGGGAACTTTTTGTGTTGTACATAAATATTTTACTTTATTTAAAATGAAGTTTGATAAACTAACATGAGAGAGTTAAAGCATTGAATCTGTTTAATAATTTAAATTAATATTTCCTTTCTTACTGGTTAAATTAAACTGTTCTCCCTAGCTGCCACACTAGTGTAATTATGTAATTAACAGTGAGTTTCCTTTAGCAACTGGTGGTCCATGGAAAGGTTTCCATTGGGCCATGGGCCAAAAAGTTTGAGAACCACTGCTCTCTAATCAATAAAATGTCATTCTTTGCAGCCACCACAGAAAAGACAAAGAACAGTGGAAGACTTCAACCAGTTCTGCACGTTCGTGCTAGCCTACGCTGGCTACATCCCCTACCCCGAGGAGGTAAAACTGATTGGTGTGTGTGCATGTGCCATTGTTAGATGTTGTATGAGGGGGCCCATGTGCTGAGACACAGATCTGGTACCTACTGTTTTTTGGCAGTGAGGCTTGGGGGACTTTCTGCTGTCATTTGTCCTGCTCCCGTCATCTTCCCTCCCCCAAGCACTCTAAGAACACCAAATCTGTGGTGTGGTTTTGTGCAAGTCCTATGTGCTTTCTCTTTGTCCTTATTGTAGAATGAACCCTGGACTCTTGGAGGCAGCATGAGTCCTCAAAACAGCACAGGAAGCACTCAGGACAGTGACAGCTGGGCCTCATCCCATTCCTCTGACTCCCAAGTACTGCCAGATGAGGGTAGAAGCAGGAACACCAAGTACAAAGGGGGTAACCTACACCTCAACTGCCCTGACTTCCCCAGCAGTTTATATGCAGCCCGCCCTCAGCAAACCAAGAAGAAGAAACTGTCAGCGAAGAAGCTTATCTTGGATCAAGAGATGGAACAGAAGGTGACACTGGCTGGCATGAAGAATTTGGGTGATGTTCAACAGCAAATGAGAGAGTTGGCTGTGCTAGAGGAGCAGGCACCTTATGTAAGAGGAGAACGTCAGGAGTCCTTGGTTATCCCAGCTGGTGAGCTCCGCCCCAAATCCCTCCTGGAGGAGTTCATGAAGGAAGAAAAGGATTGGACACATGGGGCGCAGGAGAGTGAGGTGCCAGTAGGAAGCTATTTTCAACCCAAGGAGCAAGAATCGAGCCATGAGGAGAGTAGGAGCTCCAGCTGTCAGAATACCTTGGATCAAAGCAAAGAGGAGGCTACAAGCTGTTTCAGCTCCCAGCTCAGTGGTAAGTTCCAAGCTAGTTTGTCTGGCTAGTGTGGAGGGAACTGTAGTAGAAGTGGGGCAGGTGTCCCTGGCCTGGACGGTGATTGTGTCAGGGTTCTTACTGTAAAGCTGCATTGTGTTCCAATGCTCAGCACCTTGCTCTCTTCTCATTGGAGGAACTGTAGGCTCACAGACTTTGTGAGGAGCCCATTGTTCCTGGAGTCCTAGCCTCACCCAACACAAGGTGAAATGGGGAAACTGAAAAGAATAGTCAGGGCCTGTCAGAGTTCTTCTTTCCTCTGGTGTCAACAGTGCTGGAGATGACTCATTTTTCAATTTGGGAGATTCTCATACTAATCATTTGACCGTTTGCTTTTGCAGCTTCACCTGTGGAATTCATGGTGGCACCTCCAAACACCAAAGCAGAAGGTGAGTGGGACCCTGTGTGTGTGGAACTGGTAGCCTCTCTAGCATGTCTTGCTTTGCTGCTGGGCTTCTTCCTTTGATGGGTGACAGTCAGTGGGGAATTCAGGCTGGTGTAGGATGGGCAAGAGTTTCCTTTGGAGCTGATCACTAATCTTCTGGGGAGAGGGGTCAGTGTTGAGCCCTAAAATGTCTTCACACCTCCAAGATGATGTATACTGCCTTTCCCAGTCTGCGTGATCTTATGCTATAAGCTAGGCTTGTCTGACATTTTCTGATGGAGGTGTCTCTCTCCCCTCTCCAGAGGATGATGCTTGGGACTTGATCACCTGCTTCTGCCTGAAGCCATTTGCAGGGAGACCCATGATAGAGTGTAATGAATGCACCACCTGGATCCATCTCTCCTGTGCCAAGATTCGCAAATCCAATGTGCCTGAGGTCTTCATCTGCCAGAGATGCCGTGACGCCAAACAGGAGATCCGCCGCTCAAACCGAGCCAGGACAGTGCCCCGCAAACGGTTCTGTGACTGATGCCCTCTCTGAGATGGTGACTGTGGGCAGGGGCCCTTTGTTCTAAGACTGTAGCCCCAGTTGGCTAGACAATCGATGCACAGTGACTATAGAAGGCCTGTGGCACTGGAAAGTGGGAGCATTTGTGCTGGACATGTCCCCTGTACTTCCAGCTCCAGGAAGCTGGCACATTGAGAGACACTCCAGGAAGAATAATCTTCCTCTCATGGGGATCATGTAAACTATGCAGTTGGGATATCAGTTTCACCAGTGCAGCAGTGTCTAGCAGGGAGGTGTGTTTCTCAATGGAATCCAAGTGCAGTAGGTCAGCCGAAACCTTCCTGTTGTCACAAACTAGGCTTCAGTGCCTTTCCCCTCAGGCAATCCAGGAGAGCCTAGTTCAAGTAGTTTCCCTCTGGTAGGATGGCTGCTTAGGCTTATCCCAAGTGTGGTTGTTATCCCACTGGTGCCCAATTCCTTTCCTGGCCTTGACTTGACCACCCCTTAGTGTGTGTTTAGTACTGGCGAAAGTTATCAAGTAGTTAGCCCCAGAGACCAAAGTCCTCTTTAATCTGGGCTGTCTCTGCTTTGTTGAGAGTGCAAGCTTCCCCCTCTACAAACCAATGCCCTGGAGTGACTACTGCTGGGGAGGCGGGTGGGGGGTGGACAAAAGGGAGTTATCCTCTTCACTGTCATGGCCCATCAGTATAGTGATGTGGACAACTGCCCCAGAGCTTGAGTTGACCACCCTGCCTTCAAACTTGCTTCATGTGGAGTAAGCAAAGAGTAGCCCCTTGATCTGACTGCACTCACTAGCAGTTTTCAGTTACTGTAAATACTAATGAAGTGACTGTAAATAATTTGTAACAGGTGTCTAGAAAATTATAAAACAGTTCTTGCTAAACTATAAACCTCTCTGCTCCAGAACTTCCAGTTGCACTGAATTCTCCTGCGTGAGGGAACTTAAGAGTCATGGCAGGAGACCAAAACAGGTGTTCATTTGTTTGGGGTTTTTTTTGGGGGGGAGGGGGGTGTAGAATGTCTTCAGAAACTCATGGGAGGGAGAAGACAGTGAGTTCACAGGCAGCAAAGAATAAGTAAAACCACCTCAGGCAAAAGCAGATCAATCTCATCCCCTTGGAATGGTTCTCAAGCCTTCCCCTGCTCTTGTGCGTTGGGCTGTCTCCCTGGGAGCATTTTGTGAAGGTTCCAGGGATTATGTGAACTAAATCTGGAGAGAACAGAAAGAGAGGCTTTGATGTCTCAGGAGTTCTCTCCAGTGTTAACAGTCTAGGCTCCTCAGTGAAATCTGGGGAGTTTCATGTCTCATGCAGACTAGGGGTCTTGTGCCTTGTGCCTCATCCACTATGCAAATTATTGCCCCTTAGATTGGCTATGCCTGTTATGAGCACACTTTTACATTTCTAGACAGAATATTTGGTCTTCTGTCTCCCTCTCTCCCTTCATGGAGGACATAACTGAGCTAGCTGGTCTCTGCTCCACATGCACTAAATATTATAATCCATTTTTTTCTCCACCCACCCCAGACTGAGACCCATGTGCCTTCTGCACTACACATTGCAGATGCTGCTTTCCCCTCTACTAGAGGCACTTGGTTTAATCACATAAACTGCAGATGTTCTGACTCTTATGCTGCATATTGGTACTGAGCTGGGCCTCTGCTTCTTGGGTGGAGGAGGTGGAAGGACCCTAAGATTGCAATTCTTGTACGTTTCCAAACTTGGTGTATTTGTCTGCCACGAGACATCAGCAGTGTCCCTATCTCTGGGGAAGGGTTTGCTCCCTGAATCCCTCTGCTGCAGCAGGAAGCCTATGCCCCTGAAATGCTTTACACTTTTATAGAAATTATGTAAAATAGCTGATTCTTGGCAGTATGGGTGGAGTAATGTGTATATAATAAAGTACTTTTGCCATAACCCTTGGCACGGTTTTGTGGCCTCATCTCTAACCCCACTTGGAACAAGTTTCAGTGAATATTTCCTTTGGATGTACTTTGGGGGGGCGGGGGTGGAACAGGCACTAGCCCTGTCCTTTTTACAATGGATTATGGTCTTCCTAGGGAGCTTGGATGCTGTAGAAATAAGTCCAGAGCATAGACAAACGCTTTCTTTACACTTTGCTAAACTGCACTTTTTTAGTTTAGTGCTTGAAACTGAAAATGTGTCCATGGTCCCGCGGGGAGGGGGGGGAAGAGAGAGAGAGAGAGCTGTCCCAGCACTTTATATAAACCACCTCTGTGGCCAGTAGCTAACGGCTAGGAGCATGGCTCCCCCTGCTGGAGCCTGATTCATACTGGCACTTCACTAACTTTTACTCTGGTGTGAAAAAACACATCCTAAATGCCGCAAGTTAAAGCATTGTAACTAAAACTCAAGTGTAATCCTGGACTTCTACTCCAGTAAGTAACATGAACTCCAGCTCCCTTGCTACAGCAAGTCCAACTACCCTGAACGAACCTTTGTGAAAATGGTCAAACTAATTTCCCCATAGATGGGGCAATGTGCACTATATTCCAGTGCCTGGCTGCAAAAAATTCAAAAGGCAGCTGTTGAGAGAACAGTGAAGTTGTCCATACAGAGACATGAAAGCCATTCAATCCCAGAGCACCAAATGCCAAGAGTATTTGTGCTGTAGCTGACAGTGATTAAATCACTGACTGTTCCTCTTCTTGCATAGGAGACAAAAGCAGATCCTCATGTATCTTACAATATAAATGAGGAAGAGTCCATTCTCAGAAGGCATATTCTAGATCCCATAGCTCTGCTGGCACAGAACCACAGATATTTCATTAAATGTATGGCATCTGGGGAGTCAGAAGTCCCCATAACTTCAATTCTTCGAGTGATTGCTCATGTCCGTTCAAATGAGGTGTGCATGCACGACATGCACGGTATCCTGGAGCATTTTTCCCTAGCGGTACCAGTCGGGCCAGCAGGTTGCCCCCGGGAGTGGTGCTGCTATAGCGGAGCATAAATACCCCTGCCGGAGCTCCCCCTGCCCTGCTCTCCTGCAGTTCCTAGCATGTGGTGGTTGCCTGTTGGCAGTTCTTTTATTGTTTTTCAAGTAGTTATAGTTGTTAGGTACTTAGTTAAGTGTTTGTAGTTCTTATCTCTCCCCTCCGGGGAGGGGGATGCCAGGCCTGCTCAGCTTTAAACCTTGCGCGTCCTGTGCGAAGCCAATGCTTAAGGGAGACCCCCATGACATTTGCCTAAAGTGTCTGGGAGAGTCCCACCTCACAGACTCTTGTAAAATTTGTAGAAGTTTTAAGCAGCATACCAAGCGGGAGAGAGATTCCAACTTAAAACTGCTGCTCATGGAGTCGGCTCTCCAACCGGCACCGTCTCGAGAGGTTGCAGTGTGCAGTGCACCAGCATCAGTGCAGGAAGCACAACCAGGCCCCTCCTGTACCATGGCACCAAAGACGGCGGCACCGAGGCACCGGTAACAGTCCCTGGCTCCGAAGATGGAGGACGACTCTAGGGGGAAGGTCACCTGCTATTTTATTATCCCCAAGCCCAACGGAGAGCTACATCCTATCCTGGACCTCAGAACCCTCAACAAAGCTATAAAAAAGGCAAGGTTCAGGATGGTGACCCTGGCCTCCATTATTGTGGCTCTAGAAGTAGGGGAGTGGTATGCGGCCCTTGACTTAAAGGATGGTTGTTTTCACTTGGCCATATAGCCAAGTCACAGGAGATTTCTCCATTTTGTGGTGGCCCACACCCAGTATCAGTTCACTGTGCTCCCCTTTGGGCTCTCCGAAGCCCCCAGCATCTTTACAAAAAGTATGGCTGCCCTGGTGCGAGGCCTAACGCTGTCCCCACTCTTAACGGCTCAGAATTGCATGAAACTGCTCGGCCACATGGCAGCCTGCACATATGTGGTCCGTTACGCCGGGCTGAGACTTAGACCGCTGCAGGCTTGGCTGGCAGGGTCTTTCAACCAGGCCAGAGCACGGTGGGATACCCTCCTGACGGTGCCTCTGGAGGTAATTGCCTCCCTGCAATAGTGGGTGCAGGAGGACGACGAAGTGTACAAAGGGGTGCCTTTTCAGGTGGAGGTTCTCGTGGTCACACTAAAACAGATGCCTCCGATGAGGGTTGGGGCAAACATTTGGAGTGCCCCAGGACAAGGGTTATGGGCTCCCCACGAAAAGGCGCTGCATATAAACATCAGGGAGTTGGCTGTCAGGAGGGTGTACAAGGTCTGCCTGACCCTTCTCTCAGGGAAATCTGTATCGGTGCTGCTAGACAACACGGCAGCAGTGTTTTATATAAACAAGCAGGGGGGGGCTCGGACTTCTCCCCTGTGCCACAAAGCCGTTCTCCTGTGGGAGTTTTGCATAGCCCACGATATTCAGCTACAGGCAGCGTATGTGCCAGGCTGCAAAAACACACTGGCAGACTCACTGAGCATGTCCTTTAGAGGCCACGAGTGGCGCTTGAAGGATACCACCCTTCTACCTCTCTTCCGGAAGTGGGGGTCATCCCCCGGTGGACCTGTTTACCACAGGCAAATAGGAAGTGTCCCCAATACTACTAGTTCCTGGGCCTAGGGGCAGCATCGACGGGCTGTCTTGGTCGCTCCTCGACCACGGAGCCTACTGTATGCTTTACCCCCGTTCCCTGTTGTTCCCAGGGTTCTAACCAAGATCAGGCTGTCCTGCTAGCCCCGGACTGGCCCAGACAGTTTGGGTACCCCCATGCTATTGGAACTGGTGCGGGACAAGCCATAACCCCTCCCACTAGTTCTGGACTTGATCACGCAAGCCTGGGAAGGGAGTCTCCTCTACATCCCAACATCAAGTCCCTCCACCTGACAGCATGGCTTAGCCATGGCTAGCGCAGCCTGAGCTTGCCTGCTCTGAGGGTGTGCAGGCGGGTCTGCTAGGGAGCAGAAAGCCAGCTACCAGGTTGTCCTATGCCGCTAAGTGGAAGAGGTTCTCCCTGCGGGTGTCCAGGAGGGGCATAGACCCGTCCTCGGCCCGTTCCAGTGGTCCTTGACTATCTTTTTGAGCTGTATCAGGCAGGCCTGTCCACCTCATCTATCGCAGTCCACTTAGCATCTCTGTCCACCTTCCAAATGGAGGTTGGGGGCAGATCATTTTTCACTAACCCTGTGGTTAAGAGGTTCCTCAAGGGGTTAAATAGGTTGTTCCCACATGTGCAGGCACCCCTGCCTCAGTGGGATCTGATCCTGGTGCTTACTAGACTTATGTCTCCCCCATTTGAGCCCTTAGCCATGTGTCCACTTAAGTACCCATCATTTAAGGTGGCATTCATAGAAGCCATTACCTCAGCACACAGGGTGTCAGTGCTTCGGGCTCTGACCATGGATCCACCCTATTTAGTGTTTTCAGCAGATAGATTATTCTCCCCCCCAGCATTCCTCCCCAAGGTGGTGGTGTCATTCCACGTAGCCCAGGACATTTATCTGATTTTTTTCCCAAAGCCCCACTGCTCCCCTAAGGAGCAGGCCCTGCATTCTCTCAACACAAAAAGAGCCTTAGCTTCTTATTTAAACAGAACACAGCACTTTCGCAAATCTTTTCAGATGTTTATTTCTTTTGCGGAAAGGATGAAGGGGTTGCCCCTTGTTAGCCCAAAGGCTATCCACTTGGATCTCCTCACGTATCAGGGAGTGTTCCGTATTGGCGCACAAGGAGCCACCCCAGGTCAGGGAGCACTCTACCAGAGTGCAGGCATCCTCTGCGGCTTTTGTGGCACAGGTGCTGATCATTGCTATTTGTACAGCAGCCATGTGGTCCTCAGTCCACATGTTTGTTGCACATTGTGCCATTACCCAGCAAGCCAGAAATAACGCTGCCCTGGGCTCTGTGGTACTCAGTTTAGTTCTGTGCATAGGTCAATAAGGGGAGAAAGTTTATACGTGTGTGGGCAATGTTGCTACATCAGTTGAGTACTTTGCGTTCAATAAAGTTCGATGGTTACGTTACTTATTTACTGGTGACTTGTTTCTCTCAGGAATGTCTCCGATCCCGTCTCCTTTGGGTTCAGCTGGGGAGTCACCTCATTTGAATGGACATAGCAATCACTCGAAGAAGAAAAAACAATTACTTACCTGTAACTGTTCAAGCTGTGTTTCTCATGTCCATTCGATTACCCCCCCCCACCTCTTTCGTCTGAGTCTCCAGCAAGAAGGAACTGGGGGGGGCGGGGCGGGGAGAGAGCAGTGGTATTTATGCTCTGCTATAGTGGTGCCACTCCAGGGGGTGACCTGCCGGCCCGACGGGTACCGCTAGGGAAAAAACACTCCGGGATACTGTGCATGCAGCACACGCACACCTCATGCGAATGGACATGAGCAACACATCTTGAAGAACAACAGTTACAGGTAAGTAACCGTTTTTTCTTCCTTAGCCCAAACTGAGTTGCATCTCCTCCAGGTGGGGAATCTCAGCCTCTGTGTAGAACTGCAACTTGGGCTGTTCTTCCAGAATTCTGCATCAAAGTCTATTGAAGTGATGACTGTATGTTGATGGTATGAAGCAGTGTCAGCCCTCTCAAAGCCTGTTGTTACCATCTGGCACTGAGCTTGTGTAGTAGGGATGGTCTCTCTTCAAGGAGTAGGACTCTCCATCCACTTCCAGGCAGAAGGCTTTGTCTTTACAGGCCTCTTTCACTGTCTTGTCTTTGTGCTTGTAGGGACACGACCTCCAGTAGTCCCAGTGGCTTCCCTGTGTCTGCTTCTCTGACAATTCCATCTGGGCTGGCTGCAAGCCACTCCTTCCCTTGGTGACTGAAGAGGCCACACTCCTCCACCTGCACAGCCCTAGCTGTCCTCAACTGAAGCTCCTCATTTGCCTGCACTGCTGCCTTTTTGTTTTGGGGCCCCAGTGCTGCACATTGGAACCGAAGCTCACCATGGCCTTGAGGTAAGACTGGGGCACCTC